CATGAAGCTTGCTCTTGGAGTTTTGCAGACTCAAGCCGCCTCTGTTTAGCGTCCTCTTGAGAACTAAAATGGTCGCCCATCCGAGAACTAGAGACACCGGTCGGTGCTGGCACTGAGAAAGTCAGCACGTTTGTGACTAAAGCCAAATACCGCGTTACGCCAAATCACAGTAATTGTTCTATACTAATAAAAAGACAAATTTTATTGTTGTTCGAGGTAATATATGGTACTAATTAACCGATTAAACTGCAGTGACTTTGGTTACTAGGTAAATTTGCAATTGCGCCTATATGGCTATATGTACTTGTAAAGTTGTAAAGGTTGGACTGCTGAAGAATGTTCGAGAAGTGCCAATGCGCTTAGTCGGGCGTTCGAGAACATTCTCGAGGAGACACAGCGGCGGATCAATTATCGAGAATATTTGAGAATAATGAATAAAATGTACAAGTAGTGTAAAACTTTATGTGATAAAAAAAAAACATATATATATATATTGTAAACCTTCAAAGCTCACGGTGTAATATGGTGAATATTCTCGAGCTTTCCAACCACTGACTTATATAATTTATCTATATTTTAAATTGTATACTTTAATCTACATTTATAATAACTATATAATAGGTAATAGATATAGGCTCAAATAGAGTGRAGATTATAAAACTTAAGTCTACTGGTGGAAATTAAGATCCTCGGGTTAACAAATAGATTAAAATTGTTTTGACAATAAGTAATCATGTAACGAATGTAACTGCAATATATATACGTCTGTGCATACGTTATATATAGTAAAACCTATATCTATAACGGAATAGCATGGGACCAAACATCTTTCCTTTATAGTTTTTCGTCATAGAGAGGTAGAAATTTCATATATTATTTGCACAGTGGCTTTTAACATTTTCCGTTGTATGGAGGATTCCGTTTAATAGAGAGTCCGTTATAGAGAGGTTTTACTACACAATAATTTGTTGTCTCCGTCTTACAAGTACATAACATGGCGAATTTGCGCTCAGCAGATCACTTTTAGCTCTATTAGATTAATAATAAGAGTGAATAGACCTATTATGAAACTTGAAGTTAAGAAAATTATCTATTTTTTAGTTAGAACAAAATAAATTATAAAACTAAAGTGTCCGTTAAAGTAGAAAAGTTTCCTAAAAATACATCTCGTAAGAATTTATTAAATCCTCCTTTAAAATTTAAGGGAGAGAGGTTTATCTCCAAAACCATCCCCGTTTGTACGTCATTGACGTTATGACCCACTCTTTTTTGTTAAAAAAAAATTCTCTACGAAAAGAAATGGAACAGCGCCATCTATGAAGAAAATGTCTATGCATCTTGCAATGCATTTCGGATTTATCGATAACGGAATTTTTGTTACGTTTTTAATTCGTTAGTATTTAGTACTTACTATTTAGTAATTTACTACTTTCGGCTAATGCTAATCGGACATGACCTTTCAGTAAAAAACTAAAAATTTGGTTTCAGCTTGCCACTTTTTAACACAGTTTGTTGTGTGAGCTATGATTGATGAATGATGATGTTCTATAGATATTATTTACTTCATATTAAAATACGTACACAAATCACAATAGACAGTACAGTTAAAATGAAAATTCTACAAGACTTAGTGATTTAGATGTTAAYATACATTTAAAATGAAAATATTCTAATATTATTTTAATATAATAAGCTAAATATTAATTGAACATTCTGTGAGGCTATAGACGTATAAAATTGGCGCGTGCCTTTGATAATGTTATCTGAATCTAAAGACTTAAATTTCAAGGTCTTGTAAAGGTATAAAATGTTAAGTGTGACTAGCCAGTATCTACCTATTGCTGTTTGTTTTTTAATCGTTGAACCTGTTTCTTTCTGCAATCATTATCCAATGACGTGTAGTCGACGCTTGTGGGCTTGTGGCTTATTGCAATAACACTGTAGATAATTCATAATTCGTGCGACGAGCAACACGTGTTTGGGTTTTTCAATTTTTGTTTTATAATTGAAATTGATTCTTAAATTTTAAATATGGCTATTGATCGTCGTTCTATAATTACAAATCTCTATGATATAAATGCATTGAAATTTGGTACATTTCAATTAAAATCAGGTGAATTATCAAAATATTATTTGGATTTAAGAGTGATTGTGTCCTACCCAAAAATACTAGTAAGTTTTTCTGATTTTTATTTAAGACAACACTATCCACGTATGTTGTGTCAATGTCTAGCAAAACAAAAAATCTAATTTGCATACATCAATAACTAATTTTTTGTTTTTAAATTTAATATTATAGTGAACTGACCGAAGTATTACTGAACTTAAATGTAGGACATTAGGTATCTGTCTTGGTATCTTAGTATTTCTTATTTTTAGTGAGTTTTTTATATAATATAACAATTTAAAGAAGCTAATAGCTCATTTAAAATTAAAATGTTGTAAAATCCCAATATACAAATACAGAACATCAGAATTTATTGTTAGGTAATTGGTTATTTCAGTCTGATATTAAAACTAACAAAAATAATTGGTTCTGTTGAATGCAAATTTGCTATGTTACACATTTGTAACTCAGACAACACATTCAGGTTAACTGTGTTAATAACTTCTTAGTACTAGTACCTCCTAAATTTTAAAATATTTTTAGAAACAAATTTGTTCGCTCGTATCAATCACTATCCTCCAAGATGATGCTAACTCTAAAAATCAAGTGCGTTTATGTGGTGTACCTTACACAGCTTTACCTATAGCTACTGTAGTATCTATAGATACCAATTTACCAATGTTAATTCGCAGAAAAGAAAAAAAAACTTATGGCACAAAAAAATTGATTGATGGTGAATATTCTTGTGGTGATAATGTAATTGTTATTGAAGATATAATTACAAGTGGTGATAGTATATTAGAAACTGTGACTGTGAGTATTATAATTGCTAATTGAAATGCATCTTAGTTAATAGTATCTTATAATATAATACAGTGGTGTATTTACGGGATGATACGGGGGCTAGATCCCCCCTTGGTCTCTAATTTGTTACATATTTATAATATTGTGATGTTGATGGTAAGTCTTTTCCTTAGGGAAACTAAATGTTTGCTAACATATACACCCTCCCCCTTGACAAAATTCTAAATACGCCATTGATTAAATACTCTTATTATTATATTTTATTTATCATAGGTAACTTGAAAAATAATTTACAATTAAAATTAAAATGTTAATCTTGATGTTATATTTTAATATTTGGTACTTGATAAACTAAAATATCTATATGTTTTGTTGTTTTAGGATTTGGAAAAAAGCAATTTAAATATATCAAATGTTATTGTTTTAGTAGACAGGCAACAAGGAGGGATGCAACGTTTAAGTGAGAGAGGACTAAAGATCAAAAGTTTGTTCAACATAACTGAAGTAAATTTGAAATCAAATTTATATTTTATTTATATTAATTCTTGTTATGACATATTTTGATTACCAATAAGAAAAATGCTCTCAAATGTAAATAATTAGATAATTGAAGCTGAAGAGCTTCATCTAATTAAAATATTTTTAAAATTGTTTAAGTTTTAACGAATAATTTAAATGATTTATTAAGTTCATTAAGTAAATTTAATATCTAATCATACTTAACTTATTTTTAGATTGTAACAATACTTAAAGAAGCAGGAAAATTAAGTGATGAAGTATATACAAGTGTCTTAGATTATGTTAAAAATAATCAAATTCAACCTGCAAAAGAATGTGGTAATAATTGAATTAATACTTAGATTTGAGCACTGATTTGCTATGATATCTACTAATATTTCTATTCCTAATTCCATGGTCTAATGTCATAAATATTTATATATTTAACATGATATTTTTTAGGTTATTTACAATACATGTAATGAGTTAATAATTTATCATAACTTTCTTTACATTCTTCTACATTTCAGTTACTAGCTTATAATATGTGGTAAAAATAAAGCCTTATTTTTTCCACATATTATATTTTATTAAACAGCAGTTATTAAAAGATTTTTTAATTTTATACAGTTGTGTTGACTTAAACTTGATTTCAACATTAATTTGATATGAAAGACAAATAAAAAAGTACCGAATAATGATATATTATAATTATTAAAGCTCTGGTGTTTATGACTGCAAATTTTTTTTTTGCGCAACTTAAATTATCATCTAGTATGATATAAATTTGATTCATGTCTAGGTTACTAATATGTAAACTAATTTGCATAATATTTGACATTTTTGAGCATATACTAGCATATATTGATTATTTCTAGATTAATTACAATATATATATATATATTATAAATTATTAGTATATTATTAAAAATAGTTCATTTTATTATAATTTATCACCATTAATTTGTTATACAGTTTGTTATTCTACAATACAAAAAAAAATTAAATTTAGGAGATTGGATATTTATAAACCAGCAACACAGTGACAACATAAACTGACAACATTGTTAAATTTAAGTATTCACCATTCAACTTTGTAGATGTGGAGCGGTCATTTTCGATTTATCAAAACATATTTCGGATTATCAAAATTTTTTAATTTTGAAAATATCAGAAAAATAGTAATTATACAATGTAATCCTAATACTTAGTATTACTTGTACAATTTAATTTTAATAGATCAGAAACTAATTAATCATTTTTTTCATATTTAATAACTGTGTATTTTGCAATAAAGTAATTTACACATTTTAAAGAGTATATAATTTTTTTAAATTAATATTATCATTTTTTTTTGCATATATTTGTTTAAAAAAAATAGGGATATTTAATATATTTTATGATATGTAATTACATATTTTGAATTTTAATGACATTTTGGTCATGAACACCTCTGAGCTTTAATAGTTTTAATGAATTTAATTTTAATGTTAAAATAAAATAGTCAAAAAGTAATTGTTTCTTATTATATTACTATGCAGTATATATTTTATTATGCTGATGACATACTGAATTAATGCTCAATATCTGCATTATATTTTATGATAATTTAAATATTTGAATAATGGTTTTTTTTTCATTAATTGATCAATAAATATTCTATTACTTTTTGGTGTACTGATTTTAATGCCAAAATTATCATTTAATATTTTAATACCATCAACAGCTGGTATTTCTAATTATTAGCTTAATTTATAGTTATAACTTGTTTAACACTATTATTATTTAWTTTTTTTCAGAAAAATCTTTAAGGACAAAACTAGAATTTAAAGCAAGAGCTGAATTATTAGAAACTTCTAAAATAGCTCAGAGAATCTTTAAGATAAGCTTAGAAAAAAAAAGTAACTTATGTGTTGCACTTGATGTAGATACTGCTGACAAACTTTTAGATATTGCTGAAAAAGTAGCACCGCACATTTGTATTTTAAAAACTCATATTGATGCCATTAATGGTGTCACAGATGCTACTATAAATAATTTACAACTCTTAGCCAAACAGTACAATTTCCTTATAATGGAAGACAGGTAATGGAAATGTTAGTTATATGTTAAACATATCAATATACATTAATATTTAATTCAATTCCACGATTACAGAAAAATGGCAGATATTGGAAATACTGTTAAATTGCAATACAAAAAATTAGTTCATTGGGCAGATATAGTAACAGTACATAGTGTTTCTGGTGGGATGATGTTAAAAGGCATTCAAGAGGTGATAAATGAAAATGCAGAATCATTAGATAGTCGGGGTGTGTTTATTGTTGCAGAATTAAGTTGCAATGGAAATTTAATATCGGAACAATATATCAAAGGTAAGTTAATATTAGGGCTTATTTGATGAAACTCTGAGAACATTTGATGTGTTGCCTAAAAATATATTATATATAAAGTGTATAAAACAAATTTACTAGTAATGAATTATACTCCAAAACCAGAAATGTTAGTAGACCATTTTAACAGGCCCTGGTTAACAAATATAATTTTATACTTTGGATTTTAAATTGTTCACCTATTTATAGAGACTGTGAAAATAGCTGAAGAGTATAAAGACATTGTGGCTGGTCTAGTGTGTCAGTCGCATGATGTTATTTCATCACCAAGCCTACTTCAACTTACACCTGGTGTTAATATTAAAAATTCCAATGATAATCTTGGCCAACAGTATCAAAGTCCTAGCGATATTATTTTAACCAAAGGAGCTGATATTGCAGTTGTAGGTAGAGGAATTTATCAAGATGACAATCCTGCTGAAGCAGCCAAAGTATACAAAGAATCGTTGTGGAATACTTATTTAGAACGTGTATCAAATTCTTGATTACGCTTTAATAACAAGTTTTCCAAACATATAATTAATGGATACCATTATTTTGGTTTATTTTTCATAAATGTATACAGCTATTGTTGCTACCAATATTTTTTACTAATCTATGATAGATAATAATTTGTATTGTTTCTATAATTTCATTGATAACTATTAAATATTAGTTATAAATTATTATTGATAATACTTATATACATATTATTGTTCATTGAATACGTATTAATATTTAACAAATTATATTTTTTCATAACTTTATATATTTTATATTTAACATTTATGAAGTTATAAATATTATATACTATTTAATCCAATCTTTTTTTATTAATATACCATTTAGAAATGATACAGCAAAAAGATTAGTAACCTACTTTTGCGTTTCTTTACATAATTGAAAATATAAAAATTATGCATTCAATTTTTTCATGAATCATAACTTTCATTATTCTTATACAGTGATATTAATTTTGGCGATTAACAGTTTTAATATGTTCATTGTTAATACATAAAAATATTTATACTTTATATGCTTTTTATTTATTTTTGCAGTCCATTGTTACCAGTTAGTAGTAATGTATCGTTTTGTCAACCACATATTGCAAGAATAGATAATTTGTATTTATCACTAATTATTTTATATGTTACGCATACATCGATTATTTTAGTCTTATACCACCAAACTTTTTTAATTGTATTAATTAAATACAATTTCTTAAACTTTTGCTCACCTCTTTAAAGAATAAATCACTGTTGAGATCTACATTATAGGCCAATACACTGCCAACTGTTCCTACTACAAGTATATCTTTTTCATCGTTTGGAATTGCTTTTCCTGCTAATAAAGCTGTAATTTTTTGAYTGATATTCAAATAAGATATGTCTTTCTCTGGCCTGTGTGGACTATGTATTAAAATCTATAACAAAATGTATTAATTTTTACTTTTTATTACAAATAATTCAAAAATATATATGATTATATCATAACCTAAAGATTGATTTTGTAATATTATAGTTGTATACTGTTAGAACATTTAATACTTTATGTTAACAATTTAATATTTTTTTTTTTTAATTTCAATGAATATATATTATGTTAGCATATGGCAAATTTCAATGAATGATATCAATTGATATAAATAATATGATTAAATGTGTGTAAAAATGTTAAGTCAACTTTCAAACTAGAGAACATAGACTAAAAATAATAATGTAAGACCCCTTAGAGTGGCAGTAAAATATTAATTAACATTAAAGTAATAACATTTAAAATATATTATCATTATTTATTTAAACACCTACCTAAAAGACTGTCGTATAGTTGCATAGACAGAATTTAATATTTGTCATAAATTTCGTGAATAATAATTAATATTATAAATGTTACAAAAATATAAATTCTAACTGGTAAGTAGTAACTCATTCTTTGTAGTTCATACTTGCCTTATTTTCAGATGTTGCTGCTGTCAAACAATGATGTGATCCATCATATTTACCTATTGTTACCAAATGTGGTATTATGCTATGTCTTAACTGTAATGAAAATAATGGAATAGCCATTTTAAATTAAAATAAAAAAGCACTCAAGTTTTTAATGCTTATTAGAAGTATTATTTACTATAATATTGGTTTGTATGTACAAAAAAATCTATATAATATTTTGTACTTTTGTTCTGTATATAAACCTGTATGTTACTGTCTTACTGGTAACCATAGTAACTATATAGTATCTACCATATATTATATAACCGTACAAACCTATTATCTATTATAGAGTATATATTACTATACTCAATAATAATAACAATTGCATTATTGTATTAGTTAATTCTATACTCCAGTTATTGGGTATAAACAATTATACTTCAAATATTTAAAGTAAAAATACCTAGTCTGCTGTTAAACATTTTCAAGTTTGTTTAATTTTYATACAAAACTTGTAATTTTTGACAATGATTGAAAGTATAATAATATAAAATTCAATTTAGAAACTAGAGATTTTTTTCCAAGAACACTATCGTTCATAAAAAAATATTTGAGGGAGAGCATTTTCCTTAGTGCCTTTCTGGCTACAACATTGACATGACATTATGACGTATTTCATATATCCTGTAATCTGTGGTACTACTATAGACTTATAAATTATAATAGAAGTCTATGGATACTACCATGTGATAAGTTATTACTGATAACATTTATGATAATTATTAATTAATATTACCACAGAATAGAATAATTACTTTCATTACCCATAGGCGCCATAGCACATAGGGCCATAGACATATTATGTTATATAACTATTGCATTACCCCTGGATGGTATGATTTCTAAACMCTGTGTTTTTAAATGTCTTATCAGATAACACTTAATAATAACAGGTTCCCCGAGAAAAAGTACAAATCATAATTTCGATAGTCCTTAGACGCATATACACTAGAAAATACATGGAGTATATGTAATAGATGACACCTACTCGCATTATTATTATCTTATTCATTTATCCATAACTTTTTTTAATTCTAAATAAAAAATTATTTTAACTTGTGATAATTGTATTGTATAATTTTTTCAATCATGATTCATAGTTTATTTATTATAAATTCTGCCTGGTAAGTAATTGTATATCTAATGATTTGTAAACTAGGCATTTGTATTTATTTACTAGTGTATTGGTTTCTTTTCCAGCGATGTTTTTATTGAAAAACACTGGAAAAGTATAATTTCCCGATCCGTTTGTGATTACTTTTTTGATCAACATCGAAAATCTATCAATCCAGAGGACATTCCCCCAGTTATAGCAACACCTCATCATTATTTGATAAGTATCTATCGATGTGGTCTTTATTTTGTAGCTGTTTGTATGACAGAAGGTTAGTTTCTCAGATAAACAATAATTATACTTTTTGATTAATATCAATTAATTAAATACGTTTTTATAATTACAGTTCCACCATTATTTGTCATAGAATTCTTACATAGAGTAGTTGATACATTTGAGGATTACTTCTCAGAATGCTCTGAAAATGTTGTTAAAGATAATTATGTTGTTGTTTATGAGGTAAGTTGGTTTATATAATATTATAACTATTATTCAAATTATTAATTTATGATAACTAGCTTTTGGACGAAATGTTAGACAATGGTTTTCCATTAGCTACTGAATCAAATATTCTAAAAGAGCTTATTAAACCTCCAAACATTCTTCGAACAATCGCAAATTCTGTCACAGGGAAATCTAAGTAATAATTTAGTACCATCCAATTTTTTTTTTTTTATGTTAATAATTCAAAATCTAAACATTTATATTTATTGATGTTATTCAGTGTAAGTGCAACATTACCTAGTGGTCAACTATCCAATGTTCCATGGAGGAGATCAGGTGTAAAATATACCAATAATGAAGCTTATTTTGATGTAATAGAAGAAGTAGATGCTATTATTGATAAAGGTGGTTCTACCGTATTTGCTGAAATTCAAGGATATGTAAGATATTTTCATACTACAAATTAAAAACATAAAATTTAAGTTAATAGCCTCTATAATATATTAATTGATAAAAAAAATAAAAATAAAAAATATGCAACAGATATTATTGTCTACTGCTTCTATACCTAATAAAAATATAATAATTTAAATTGAGTAAATAATATAAAATTGTAGCTAATTGTAAATTTATTAAATTAATTTTTTTTAAATATCATTATTATTTATACAGTGTATGAAATGCATTATATCTTTTTTCAATGAAAATTTTAAAKTGAAAAAAATTATTATTTTTTTAATGTGAAGTTATAAAGAAGTTTTAGTGTGCTTCATAAAATTATTATGCTTTTAATAAAATATAATATATCTACCTAAATCTAATATATCATTAAATAATTCAAACATATTTATGTATGATAATTGTTTTTATTTTTTTTAAGATTGATTGCAGCATAAAACTTACTGGGATGCCTGATCTCTCTTTATCATTCATGAACCCCCGACTTTTTGATGATGTGAGCTTTCACCCTTGTGTTCGATTTAAACGATGGGAGGTAATCCATAACTATTACACATTACAGTACTTAAATTTTACCTACAAAATAGAATATTAATTGATACATTCATTCTGTTTATAATAGTCTGAACGAATTTTATCATTCATACCTCCAGATGGTAATTTCCGGTTAATGTCATATCATATTGGGTCACAAGGAATAGTTGCTATACCAATTTATATACGACACATGCTTGCATTAAAAGAAACAACTACTGGAAGTGGTCGTCTTGATATTACTGTTGGACCAAAACAGACACTAGGAAGAACAGTCAGTATCAATATATTATAATTAAAATATAAAACATAAATTTGTCAACATTTAATAAAAAATTCTAGATCGAAAATGTTGTCATTGAGGTACCTATGCCGAAAAGTGTGTTAAACTGTACTCTTATTCCTAACCAAGGTAAACATTCATTTGATCCCGTCTCGAAAGTTTTGACTTGGGAAGTTGGCCGAATAGAAACTACCAAACTTCCAAATATAAAAGGAACTGTAAGTTTTATTACCAACTTTATTGTAAATGGATATTAATTTTAATTTTAATATTAGATTAGTCTGCCTGTAAGCACAGTTGTCACTGATTCAAATCCTGTTATTAATGTATGTATAAATTAAACAACCTTAATTTTAATTTATGTTAATTCATAAATAATGTATTCATAGGTGAAATTTACTATCAACCAATTAGCATTATCTGGACTAAAGGTAAATCGTCTTGATATGTATGGTGAAAAATATAAACCATTCAAAGGTGTCAAATACATTACAAAAGCTGGAAAATTTCAAGTGAGGATGTAATTTATACATTAATTTATCATATTATTTATATAAATATAAAATATTTGTTTATTTATATATTTATATATTTAATTAAACTTACAAATAATATTGTTTTGTGATTCATTATCTGTATATTAATGGTATAAAATATATAATTAAATATTAATAAATCTTATTATATTAATGTTTAAACATATTTTTTTTTTACTTTATACTGTTTATAAATTTTAAATACATTTTTTTTTTACCTACCTATTAATTGATAGTAATACTAAATGAAAAAATTCTTTATAATATGATGAATGAAAATTGTAATTTGTGATCATTGTTTATTTTCATTATTAAATTATTTATAAAAGGTTTATAATTGTTTCTTGTTCTACCCTAATTTAAATACAAATTAAACAATTTTATTAAATTAGGCCACAGTGATTATGATTATAATAATATTTTAGTATGATTATTGGTTTTAGAGGGCTTTGCAATCCCTTATCGTCAAATTTAGGGTCCTTATCCAATACTTTTGAAGTAAATAAAAATGTGTATATAAAGTTATTATATAAATATATTTAATGCTGTGTATAAACAGAAAATATAATTATAAAATATTTGCAAATTTACTTGAAATTGTGGTTCTCAATGTCTCGTCATATAAAAATTATTCCAAGCGTCACTCCACCTTAAAGCTGGCTCTAACCACTATTAAAGTCAGATTTATCTTATAATAATAATAATTTTAATAGGGTTCGTACAAATAGTGTGCTGTCATATAATAGGATAATGATAAACCTAAAAATGTCTTCAAATAATTTGAGATTTTATATCAAGATCAAGATTGACTTAACTGCAAAAAAAGTGTGATACCGGACAGCGTACATTTGAATCCCAGAATAAAAATCACCGGGAAAAAATCCCCCAACGAACGACCGCAGATAAAGAAATAAAATCCCTGACCCTTGGAAAAAAAAATCCCCAGATTCCATAATTACTCATGTGAAAATTATTTATATAAAATAAATACTTTTTACAAATAGAACTTTATGTAGTCGCTGCGTCGTCGGTTGAAAACTGAAAAAAAAAAAGAAAAAAAGGTACTTTATACTTACCATTCAAAAAATTAATGTATAGAGTAGGTACCCTGAAATAAGATTTTACATTTTCTATAATATTTTGACGATAGTGTATAATATATAATAACTTCAAATGTTTAGTATAACTATTAATATTCAACTTCAATTCAGTAACTAACTGTGATTATTATTATCCAAATATTTGTATACATTATTTTTTTAACAGTTAAAAATCAACTGAGAGTATAGAACTATAATAGATGTATTATTAATTATTATTATCTACTTATATTGATTCGATTATTGGAACAATTTATTTAAATTTATAATTATGAATTAAATTTAATGATTTATAATATTATATAATATATTAATTTTTCGAGTAAAAAGTATAATATACCTATTTGTAGTTCAATATTAAAATAATTTTCATGTGTTTGTGAGTAATGTAGTCTGGGGATTTTTTTCCCGAGGTCCGAGATATTTATCGCAGTAAGTGAAGTAATTCCCGGTTCATTATTAGGTTTGTACGAGTTGATTCCTGGGTTATTAAGATGTATGTACGAKTTAATACTCTGTTGTATATCATCTGCAATAAACGGCACGACTGTTATGGGTTTGAACCTTTGAACGTTATTTTTTTAAGAGAAGTGTTGTCGTAATGCCATGGTATACTGGTAATCGCATTACCAGATACCAATTTTTAAAAATAATGTGTTACCTATACGTTTTTATAAAATTACTAAATTTGTTAACTAATTTTCTGGACTCTGGAGGGACGTTTGGAATCCATCAAGGAGGTAGTGATGCAACTGAATGGTTAATCAATCTGGTTGTCCGTCTATAAGTTATCATTTTTTAGTAACCAAAAACTTGTATGTATTTACCTAATTTGTTTTTACACATCTTTTAATTATTTATTTATTTATTATTTATTTATTTAAGCCGATGCCATATAATCCTAATATATGATATTATATTATTAAATTCAAATTTTATACCATACGCATCACAGTGACTCAAGAAACCTACTGTACAGCAGAAAAACGACATCCACTTAACCGCTTTTAGATTCTGATCGTGTGTGTACACGATAAGTTGTCGAAACATGAAATAATGCTTCGATTTTAAACTTCAGTAKCTTTTTCGGTTAGAAAGTGAATCTTATTGGTGCATTCAGAAAGTCAAATTCATATTGCAATTCCCAGTTTTCAAAAGCACCAGAAAAAATCAAAAATAAAGTAAAAATCATCTGAAAATTGGATTACAAAACTTGAAAATTTAAAACAATGTTCCCCTTAAGTTCATATAATTCCAGTTGGAAAATATTATAATACATAGGCACGTTTTATTTGTTTATAACCATTTTAAAGTTTATATTTTGACAAAATTGAACTCATGAAGAATCTTGTATTGAATTTTTAAATCGTATGAAAGATAAATATTTATGAATTTCTAACTCAAAATAAATAGTAAATTTAATGTTCGTGATTTTTACGTATTTTGTAAAAATTCGATCTTCCAATGCTTATTAAACAAAATTGTGACTTTGTATTTTTAATATTTTTTAACTACTATTATGACAATATATTAAGGGCCTTGAATTAAATTTTGAAGCTTTTTTACCTGACGAATACAATTTTATTGTCATTTTAAAAAAAAAATTGAAAATATAAAATGTCTAAAAATAACCTAAAAATGTTTGAAATATTTTAATAATTGCCAGAATAAACATTCAATGAAAATTTCATGTATCTACTGTAATTCGTTTTAGAGTTACACCAATGTCTAAAATCGATTTTCTGAAAAATTGATTTTGMGTAAAATTCCCGTTTTTTTCTTAATTTTTATTTTGTTTTTCTAGTTGCTTTTGAAAACTATTAGGAATTTCAAAATTTAACCTCCCATCACATCAAAAAGATTCACTTTAAAACCGGAATAGCTACTGAAGTTGGAAATTGAAGCATTATTTTGACAACTTATCGTGTACATAGACACACAAAAAAACACAACACTAAAAAATTAATAAATTCTTCGCTCCGCTCAGAATCTGCAATTTGTCTATGAATTGAATATGTACGATAATCTTTTAAAATTCAATACAAGATCTTCTTTTATATTTAACAAAAAGAGAGTTTATCGGAAAGTCAAATAAATTTTTCACGTTCGTTTAGAGTTTTTGGATAATCACGCGAAAATTAACGAATTATCATACAACGATTTTCTTATTTTGTTAACTTGAGAAACTTGAAATTTTCATTTCAAATGTTTATTTTACCATTTTCTAATCAGGATAATTCAGAATATTTGTCTCTTTATAAATCATTTTCAATTTTWATTTATTTTTATTTTTATAAATGTTAAAAAAATTGTATTCGTTAGAGCCAAAAACTTAAAAATTATTACAAGGATCCTCATCAGTAGTTATTATAGAATTAAAGAAACATTAAAGATCCACATGCATGATTTTTTTAAACATGTAATTATGTAAAGATCAAATTTTGACAAAATTTATTTAAATCTCGAAAATTCTCAAATTGTTTTGTTGTTAAAAATTAAAAATTATTAATTTGATTAGTCGAGAATTGAAAATTTGAAACAATGATTCTCATGAATATTAAATAGTACATAATATAATGTACCTAATATAAAAAATCTAATATATATATATTATAATATCACATTACAGTGTAATGATTACACAGTTATTTTTTGCAGACATTTTACGTCCATATTTGAACGAAATTTCATATTTAAACCAAGAATAACGATTAATTTTGTTGTAATTTAAAAGTATTATTTGTGGGTACATATGAAATCTAAAAGCTCTGAAGGGGGATCTATCTCCTATCTCCATCATCAACCCCCATAACTACACTATTGGTCACTGCTCACTGGGTGTAAGAAAATGGCTAGACATATTATGGCATATTGACATTAACAACGGGTGTTGCGATCTTTGGTAGTTTTAGTGGTGACCATAGATAAGTATAATATGTAATATGGTGACTGATGCCCGGTGGTGCAGCTGTAGAGTCCGTGGAGGTGGTGACGGTGGTAGTTGTGGCGAATTGCCGTGTTTATTGAATAATATGGTGATTATTGAAGAGCCAAGTTAGAGTGTATCTATGGCGGTGTTTCGTTCGACGGTGCGGCCAGTAGCCGGAAAGCATATTGGCGACACTGCAGTGGAAAGTTTATTTTTAAGCCAATCATATGAGCGTTTCGTTTTGACAATAGCCCATTAGTTTGTTTCTCACTGCCGTCGACCGAAGGTCAGTGGATGTTCATCCTCACTCCGTAGCAGTGTAGATGTGTGTTCTGGTACGCGTTTCGCGATAATTGTTGCTCTCGTGGTGTCCGTCGTTGCCGAGTATCCACCGTTTTGCCGATGACGTCCATCGTAGCCGGTCACCGACCATTTGCGTTTCTCACGCGCCTAAACAAGACTGACGCCATCGTCGTCAACGCGTCGCGTTAGATCGATATACGGCGCAGAGAGAGCGACCACCGCCGCAGTACACGGCAGTCGTAGTCGCCGCCGCCTCCTTCACCCGTATACGATCGCATCAAAAACTTGAGACAAGGAGCGCCACTGTGCCGATTATTGGTGAGTAGTAAAATTATGTTTTTCRAGGTGTCGTTTGCGTTCATTTTCAGATACTTTAGAGGCACACGTATAACGACGGGGCGCCAGCTATCCTCGCGTCCGCGGTCGCCGTCAACGGGCCACAAGTCACTACGACTTAGGCTAGGCTTATACATAATGTCGATGACCCAGTTTATGTCATGATTAGGTCCTTTGAGTGAACCGTCGGGAAAGCCAGTATTATAGTCCAGTCGCGAGATATTATCATGTCCTAAATACAGTGTATTAGTGTATGTGTGAGTGTGTATAATTGTTATACTGTATTACTAGCCCGTGATAACAGCCACGGACAGGAAAGTGAGTGATAACGTWAAGTATAGGTGGCCAGCCAGTAGCCACGGTTGTTTCG